CTGTGCTGCCCCTCCGCCCGTCTGCGCAGCACGACTTTCCGTTGCCCCCCCCACCCCGCCGAGGCGCCCCTCGGCCCAGGAGTCCAGGCCGCCCGATCCCTGATCATGGGGTGTCCCTACATCCAGCACGTGCTTTTTACAGCTGGGGGGCACCCCGTCCCCTGAAACAAGGGGCGCTATACAAGGAGGCGGCGGCTTCGCCTCCTCATCTTCCTCCTCCTCATCCTTCTCCTTCTAGTCCTCATCATCCTCCACCTCATTCGTCATGCTGTGGCACTCCTCATCATAATCTTCCCCATTTCCCCGCCTTCCCCCCCCCACTCTCCCGCCATCGTCCTGCCCTCATTCCCCTCTCCCTCCTGCTCCTCCTCCTCCTCCTCCTCCTCCTGCTCCGCCGCCTCCTCCTTCTCCCGCGACCCAGCACCCACCTCACTTTGTGATGGGTGTCAAGTGGGGCCAGGCGTGTGAGGGAAGTCCACAACGCGCCGGCGGGTAACTATGCAAAGGAAACATCGTGGTTCCTGCTCCTCGTAATCGTCCTCATCCTCATCCTCATCCTCCTCCTCCTCCTCCTCATCATCATCATCATCAGCATCATCCACATCATCCTCATCCTCATCCTCATCCCATCCCCATCCTTATCATCATCCTCATCCTCATCCTCATCATCAGCATCATCATCATCACCACCACCATCATCAGCAGCAGCAGCATCAGCATGATGATGATCAGCATCATTATCATCATCATCATCATACTCACCTTTTCCCCCTTCCCATGTTCTCCCTCCTGCATCCCTTCATCCCTCCCTCCAACAGCCTTCATGTCCGCCCTCCTCCCTCCAGTCACTCCCCATCGACACACACATATATATATATATATATACACACACACACACCTGTACGACGACCCTTCCGGTGATAAGGAGGTTGTTGGGGGGGGGAGAGGGGGGGAACCAACATCTGACTCAATCGATCTCACTATCGATCTCACTCAACGGGACACCACAGGACACTTGTGGATCTCACTATCGATCTCACTCAACGGAACACCACGGGACACCACGGGCCATCACGGAACACCACGGGACACCGCGGGACACCTCTCGATCTCACTATCGGTCTCACTATCGATCTCACTATCGATCTCACTCAGCGAGACACCATAAGACACCACGGGACACCTCGGGACACCACATCGATCTCACGATCGATCTCACTATCGATCTCACTCAACGGGACACACCGGGACACCTCGGGACACCTGTCGATCTCACTATCGATCTCACTATCGATCTCACTCAGCGGGACACCACGGGACACCGCGGGACACCTCTCGATCTCACTATCGGTCTCACTATCGATCTCACTCGACGGGACACGACGGGACACTACGGGACACATGTCGATCTCACTATCGATCTCACGATCGATCTCACACAACGGGACACCACGGGACACCACGGGACACCTCGGGGCACCACATCAATCTCAGTATCGATCTCACGATCGATCTCACTCAACGGGACACCACGGGACACCACGGGACACCAGCGGGACACCGGCGGGACACCGCGCGGCACCGGCCGCTGGAGGAGAAACATTTGGTCCGGCCTTGGCCCAGCCACAGGAGGACTTCGGGACACCAGCAGGACACTGGCAGGACACCGCGCGGCGCGGGCCGCCGGAGGAGTTACAGTTGGTCCAGCCGCGGCCCAGCCACAGGAGGATTTCCTTTCGCCCGCCCACACAACTTCGCCTCGCCCACACGCACGCACGGCACGCACGACACGAACCCGAAGCCGAAATCGATTTCCCGGTAGGGGGGGTCTCCCTTTCACGTCGGACTCACCCCCAACCTCCGATACATATATATATATATATATATAATATGAGAGCGTGATCCACCGCCGCTTTACTGTGGAAAATTGCCGCCCTCTTCCTCCGGAACCCGGGGGTCCCCCCCCCCCTCCGAAAATCCCCCCCCCTGCTGGAACCCTCCCCCCCCCCCCCCTCCTCACCCGGCAAAACCCCCCTCCTCCCCTAACCCCCCCCCCCTCCCCCTCGAAAACCGGGGGGGGTCACTACCGGTTCGAACCCCCCCCCCCCCTCGAAAACCGGAGGGGGGGTCACTACCGGTTCGAACCCCTCCCCACCCCCCCCACTCACCGCCAGCAAACGACTCCCGGTCCCTACCACCGTCCGCACCACATCCCCCACTGTTGTTCCCAGCACCACTGTCCTCACCACCACTGTCCCCACTGGCTCCACCACCGTCCCTACTGTCCCCACCAGTGCCCCCCACCACTGTCGCACTGTCCCCACTGTCCCCACCACTGTTCCCACCACGGTTCCACTCTCCCCACTTTCTCCACGGCCCCAACCACTGCCCGACTATCCCCACTGTCCCCACTGTCCCACTGACTCCTCCGCTGTCCCACTAAGCTGTCCCACTGTTCCCACCACTGTCCCCACTGTCCGCACTACTGTCCCCACTGTACCTCTGTCCCATTGTCCCACCGCCGTCCTCGCCACCGCCTTCACCACTGCCCCCACCACTGTACCCTCCACTGTCCCACTGTTTCCACCTCATTCCCACTGTCCCCACACCACTGTCCCCACCACCACCGTCCCCACCACTGTCCACTGTCCCTACTGTTCCCACCATTGCCCTCACCACTGTCCCCACCACTACCGTCCCCACCACTGTCCCACTGTCCCCACCACTGTCCCGCTGTCACCTCACCACTGTCCCCATCACCACCGTCCCCACCACTGTCCGCACCCCTCCCTCGGTTTTCGAGGGGGGGGGGGGGTCCGAACCGGTAGTGACCCCCCCCGGGTTTCGAGGGGGAGGGGGGGGGGGTTCGAACCGGTAGTGACCCCCCCCCCTTTTCATGATGAACGGGGGGGGGGGAGGGGTTCGAACCGGTAGTGACCCCCCCCGGTTTTCTGGAGGGGGGGGGGAGGGGTTCGAACCGGTAGTGACCCCCCCTGGTTTTCCGCCAGCAGCGGTAGAACACGCTCTTTCATATTATACATGTATATATATATATATATATATATATATATATGTATCGAGGGTGACCAAGAGAGCGCGAGAAAGATAGAGAGAGAGAGAGAGCGAGCAAAAAACAAGAGACATGAATCAAACCATGGAAACATAATGATCTAGAGAGCGTGGGAAAGAGAGAGAGAGAGAGACGTTGAGGCATATCACTTCCGGCAATGCGCGCACAGAGTAACGGAAAATGCGTAGCGAACGTGTCAGCTACGCGTAGTGGGCTACACGCCGAATGAGAGGAGCTAAGATCGAGACACACAAGTTGAGGCAGGGCGATCACCATGCGCCCACTGAGGAAGCAGCACCTCCACCGCGGGCCACCTTGGAACTTCTATGGTTCGTCGATCGGGTCTCCCCACTGTTAACTTGAACTTACGGCAAGCTCCTGCCATGACAGCGTGCCCACTGGTTTGAGGCGCCGGTCAAAAAAAACAACTGCCTAAACATACAGTTTCGGACATCCCCACAGATACGTTGGGTCGGCGCTGGACCCACGGAGCGTGCCAGGGGCGGCGACGGAGGCACCGCCAGGGGGGAGGCCACAGGGCCGACAAGAGATCCACGCGGAGCTCGGGAAATTTGGGTGTTCGTTGATCCTCGAGCATCCGCCCGAATCGGTCAGTCTTGAGCAATCTCCGCTCTAGCTGGGCATGTGTGTGCGTGATTGCTGCTGCCCACCCTCGCTGCCCATGCCAGGGTATGCGCATGGCATGGTGGATCCTTGTTTTCGTCTGTCTTCCGAGGGGCCAGCCGCGAGTGCTGCTGGTTCGCTCTGGCCTGCTTTTCAACCTCGCCGCTGCGCGCGAGGCCGCGACCGCCAGAGAGAGTGTGTGTGTGTGTGTGTGTGTGTGTGTGTGTGTGTGTGTGTGTGTGTGTGTGTGTGTGTGTGTGTGTCACCGCCCCCTCCCCGCCATCCACGCCTGGATGGCTATGGCTGCCAGCGGCTGCGGTGCCCCAAGTGGCCTCTGCGTGCTCGGGCGGGCGTAGACGCGCGCGCTTCGTTGATTTCCGACCTTCTACGCCCTGTCGCCGCGCGCAGGGGCCACGACGTCCAAAAGTGTGCGTTGATTAACAATAAGAATAAAGCCACAACCCTTTGGGAGGCGCCTGGAGTTGGGAAACCGAGAACATTGGGGATAGGGGTCTGTTTTGCAGGTTCGTCAAACCAAACCGCCCAGACGTCTTCTCCCTGGTGCCAAGACGGGGGCATCCGTGAGGCCACGCCCTCACTGTGTTTTTGCTCGATGCTGTGCGGTCCAACGCTTTCGCGTGGACTCGGCGCCTCGGGCTTCGCCGGCTGCTGGCCAGGGGGCCCCGCACGGGGCCACGACGCGGCTGCTCGAGCCGGCACGCCCGTACCCATCCAGCGCCGCAGCGCCGGCGGCGACGCGGGCCTGCCGCGCAGGGGCCCAGGACAGGAGAACCTCTTTCAGGAGCAGGAGAACCCTGCGCCAGCCCAAACCGAGTAACCTTCGAAGACGCCCTCCCCTGGCAGTACCCTCTCCGGACCAGCATCGATCGTCTGCATCGGTCCGATCATACCCCGAAGTCTTGGCGGCGCGCACAAGGAGGTAGGGGAAGAGGGAAGGCTTCTTCGAAGGAGGCTGGTTCTTAGGAGGCGCTGGCCCTACGTCTAAAGACAAGGCCCGAGCCTCTAAGATGGAGGCCATCCCCCTTCACCATACCCCCCTCTGCGGGTCCCCCTAAGTGCGAGGCGGGGTTGATCTGGAACCACTGCCTGTAGAGGCCTCCCAGATGCGGTCGGAGCCCACGGGGTCGAAGCATCTCGCCGAATCGCAAATGTATCGGCGACGTCGGCGATGCAACGGCGACGTCGGCGTGGAGAAGATCGGGATCTGCACCGAGCCGCATTGCCGATGCATCCGCGAGTCGGCGCGATCCTCCGACCCCATCTGCTTGAACCCCATCTGGGAGGCCTAGAGCCTGGGGAGTCGACCTTCGGGGACCTCGGCAGGCTGTGAACATCGATGTGGTGTGCTCTTCTCGCCGCGGCGCAACGACCGTGCCAACCCGAGGAGCAGCGAAATGACAACTCGCCAGGCAAACCATGACCGCAACATCCACCGGCCTGCAAGCGCAGTGGGCCTTGACCTGGTGGGCAAGAACAGGAGCACGGATTCCCCACCAAAAATGAAACGAAAGGCACAAAACAGAAGCATACGCGGCAGACCTTAACCCGGGAGGCGGAAACACAAGCACAGGCGGCGAAAATGGATGTAGTCGGAGGAGGAGGAGGAGGAGGAGGAGGAGGAGAAAGAGGTGGAGGGGCAAAACGCATCCACATCCCCCGCCCGCCGAGGTGCACCGAGAAAACGAGCCTCACCAGGCCGTGGTGGTGGGTGCATCCCCGCCCTGCACTTCGCCTCCCCTCCTCCCGGCCCCGCGTCAGCTCACCCGCAGTAGCAGGAAGGCGTCGCCGAGAGGCGACCTCTGGTGGGGGGGCCAACAACCCAAATCATCGAATGCCATATCTATTCGGACGCGATCGGTAGCGTTTGTTCGGCCCTCCGAATCGGTTGCGACGGGTCCCGACCGATCAACACCATTGATCGGTCGCGTCCGGTTTCAAGGCAAATCGATCGCGACCGATTCCAAAAAGTTGTCGCAACATCGGTGGCGACCGATTTCGTCGGTCGCAACTGGGAAACTTCAATATCCAATGATCAGGGTGGGGGAGATGTAAGACTCGGGTTCGGGAGCCTCGGGTTGGCCTGACAGGGCCACCAGAAAACTGACGAGACCCAAACTGAGATTTGAAGCGATCTCCCGCTGCTAACATCCCACGAAAGCTGCACCGTCAAAATGGAAGAACGGGCACGTCAAAAAGCTGAGGAACAACAGACGGCATAACATAAACGTTCGACGCTCTGCACGGACTTCTTTGATCGGCGCTGGACCCCCCTTCCTGGCGCGGGGAGTTCGCCAGGGGCAGCGCCGGATGCGCCGCCAAGCGGGTCCAGCGCATATCCAAGAAATCCGCGCGGACCGTCAACAGTTCATGGTGATGCCGATTCTTCTTCTGCCAGTCAGTCTCCGATCCCGCCAGGGGCCTCGACTACTAGCAGGGCGACGACTCGCGGAGGAAACAGCTCGCCTACGACGACCCGGAAAGGCACGGGCAGCAGAGGAAGGGCGCGTCTTCCCGCTCCCGCGTTCGAGCCTAGAGAAGGAGGGAGGAGATGAAGGAGGCGGTGACACAGGCATCACATGTCCATTGCAATTTGTTCTTCTCCGACTCACGCTTCCCCAATAGGCATACCCCCCGCAGCGACGTGCCCCCCGGTGCATTTGGAACAAATTGGGGGCACCGGGATGAACTCTCCGACCCCCCCCCCTCCCCCCACCGGCCGACTCCCCGACTCGCCGACCCCCCGACAGGCCGACTCCCCGACTTGCCGACTGGCCGACCCTCCGACTGGCCGACTCCCCGACTGGCCACTCCCCGGCTGGCCGACTCCCCAATGTCTGGGGAGTCGGAAAGTTCTTCCGGTGCCTCAAGAACTGTCCTAGTCACCCAGTGGAGCGACGCTGGGGGGGCACGAGGTCTCGACCACGGAGTGGGCCCACACGCGGCTCCCACGCCGCCCCCAGGGACCCCTTGCCCAGGGCAGTGAGGGCAACGATGGGGGGGGGGACTGGCACAGGGGAGGGAACATCGACCTGGAATTGGCGGTGCATCGCAGATAGACCGGCGGTAGGACCCCGATAGCAAATCCCCACGTTCCTGGGAGGGGTCTGGCTATCGGGCCCCTATCGGCGATGAATTGACGATTGGAGGTCAATGCGTCCCCTTTGTGCCAATCCCCCGAAATCGCTGCCCCTGGGGTAACGTACAGTCAGGCTGCTGCCATGAAGAATGATCAAATGCCCTGATCCTACAATACTCGAACTTCCACATCGCGGCCGACGAGATCGATCGCTACCGATTTTGCCTCAACTTCCGCAATTGGTCGCGACCTGTTTGCTTCTAAATTGGTTGCGATTGGTCGGTCGCGACTGATCGGTGGCGATCGGAGACCGATTTTGAGTGCCGACCAGTTTCTACCGATCGCGTCCAATGATCTGGTTGTCCAGGGTCACATGAAGTCAAGCTGCTGTCATAAGGAACGCTCAACTTGGAGGGAAGCCATTTTGCAATGGTTCACCCGATACACTCGCTTGGGCCCTGGACGCACGAGGAACGCCAGAGGAGCAGCCATGGCAGAACCTATCAAGAACAACGAGTCAGCTCCGAACCAAAAGCGATCCTCATTTCAGCGTCTTGACCGCACGTGTTTTTTTTAAGGCGTGCTCCCAGTTGTCCGACGATGCGACTTCTTCAACGCGAGGCCCAAGAGGTCCCGCTGCCCCTGCCCTGGAAATAACCGAAATGGACATCTAGAACCCCCCCTCAACAATGGAAACGGAATATCACTTCGACGCCTATATTGACGGACTGGGGCCTCACCAAAAGCGGAGCACATATATAAATAAATAAATATCTCTGAGGCACCCGCCGCGCAACAACGATGGCGACTACGACTACGATTATGACTATCGCGATTATTGCCACCTTTAGAATCACGACTACAACCACAACCACTGATTCATATTGCAATCCTCATGAGAAAATACTCGCGAAACCTCTCTCGTGTAGGGTAGCCCCAAAGGGTTATTCCCCAGGAGACAAACCCAAAGATAAAGCCCGCCCAGAGTTAGATGGAACAATACTTTCCGCTGCGACGACGACGACGACGAGGATAAGCGGGAGGAGGACGAGGAGGTGGATCAGGAGGAAGAGAAGTAGGAGGAGGAGGAGGAGGAGGAGGAGGAGGAAGAGGAGCAGGAAGAGGAGGACGAGGAGGAGGAGGAGGACGAGGAGGACGAGGGTGGGAGTTGGAGGTGGAGGGGGAGCATGAGCAGGAGGGTCGAGATTGTTCCCCGCCGAGAGGTGGAACCAAAAACTAAAGACCGAGCACGGTTAGTTTATCGCTCGGACTCATTCCTGATAGCCCCTGGGCCCAGGGGCCGAAATGGAGGAATAACGCCTGGATTGAAAGAAGCCATATCCTCGGAGATCTGGGTCTATCCTTCCTGATGCCTCCCCAGACATCCGATGTCTTGACTTTTCTCTCGACAGGACAGGGTCCCCAGAACTCTGAAACACTTCCCGGGACCAATCGTTCGTCTCCAGTCGTTTCTTGACTGTCCTAGGGCCCAGCGAGGGCCCCCAGATGCCGCAAACACGTCCAAAAACCTCCAGTCACGATTTCGTCATGGCGCGATGGATTCTCGTCCCCTGCAGGCCTGGCGACGCGCATGTCCCTGTCCACGAACGTGTTCAGGAGGTTGATGCCCGACGCGGAGGCCCGGAACGAGGGCAACGTCGGCAGGGGCAGCGTCGGCAGAGACGGCCAGCCGCTGCGGAGGGCCCGGGGCCGGCGTGCAGCAACGCGCCCGCCGCCCGCCCTGGGTATACGACGCCTCCTTTGGACCCCCTGGCAGCGGGCCCCACCCGGATCATTGGATCCCCGGGTTTTGTCGGTGACGATCGGTAGCGACCGATCTGCACTCCAAATCGGTCGCGACTGATCATGGAATCTTATCCAACATCGGTGGCGACCGATCTCGCTGGTCGCGACTGGAAAATCCCAGTATCCGATGATCGGGACAAACATCCTCGCGTCGTGACAAGATCACGGCGGGAAGCGTTTGGCTGTATGTTGGCCTCTGGCACCGGGGACCCTCGCTGGGCCCCGGGCCCGTCAGAACCAACCCAGGGGGAGTGGTCGGGAATTCCAGGAACCCCGAGCAGAAAGCATCAAGACATCGAACCTCTGGTGAGGCAGCGGGGAAAATGAACCCAACGCTGCGAGGACATGACCTCCTCAACCCGAACGCTGCTCCTTGGCTTAGGCCCCTATAGGGCCCACTGCTGGCATCAGGGAGACGCCCTCTGCTCATAGGGATGCCCCCCCCCTGGCGCAGCTCCTGGCAACGCCGGTCCGAGACTTCCGCGCGGACCTCCGAAAGTTCATCGCTCGTGTCGCTTCCCAAACGCGGCCCCGCAGCTGGAGAACTTCTGCGGGGTGACCGCGCGGGAGGCGGAGCGGGGGTGACCGCGCGGGAGGCAGCAGCGGGAGGGCGACCTCGGACATTTTGGAAGCTCGCCGAGGCTGAACCTCCTCCTCCTCCTCCTCCTCCTCGTCAAGAACTTTAGCTTAGCTTGTCGCGCCGCAGGTTCTGGCCCACCACGCGTCGGCGCGACGCGCCAGGCCCCCCAACGTCGTGATTTTCTCACAGCGTGGGCCCCTGGAGGTCTCGACACACTCCCTGGGACTGGCTCTGCATCTCTCGGGGGGAGCGAAAGGGGGGGATAGCAAAGGGTAGGGTAGGGAATCAGCTCACGTAGCTGATTTTCCAAGCGCCTCCCGGCGCCGGGAGGCGCCCACGTATCGAGGAGCGGGCCCGGCGGCGGGGCCAGAACCAGCTGCATGCAGCAGATGTCGTGACCCCCCTTCCCCTATCCCCCCCCGTTCGCTCGGCCCGAATCTCGGGTCGTTTCTTGACGGCCCTGGGGCCTGGCGCAGGAGCCCCGCTGGAGGCCGGCGATCGCCAAAAGCCTCCCGTCGCGGTTGTCGTCGCGACACGAAGGGGGGGCTGGGCTCTCTGCTCCAGCCACCCCTTCCACGGGCGGTGGGCGCGCGCAGACTCCGGCCCCGGAGATGGGCGCCAGCTCCCCGACGACGAAGCGGATGGACAGGGAGCCCGGACCCGGCTCCGCCTCCAGTGCAATGCCACGGGGGGGGGGCACCACTGGGATACGGAGGGCGGAAAGGAGGGGGGTAATGACTAGGGGGGGTTGGATATCATGGCGTGGGCCATGATGTTTCCCCAGATTTCACGGCGCCTCTTATTTCATCACGTCCCTGGCCCCCCCGCTGGGCCGCGCACATGCCGCCGGTCATGATTTGCCCCTTCCCCCTCTTGGACACCCCCCTCTTACATATCCCTACCCTAGGATCGGGAAGCCAAAGGCGATGACAATCTGAGGGATGTGTGCGCAGAGACTGCGGGAATCCACAAGATCGGCACCGAGGTACAAGTCGATGCCAAACACAAGGAGAGGGCCATGCTTCGAGCTGGTAACGGGAGGCGTCGCCGCCTCCTCGGGGAGGGGGCCGCCCCATGGGGCCCCTCCCCGAGAAAAGCTCCAGGAGCGCCCGGCGTCGTCCAACAAAAACACCTTCTCGGCCCCTGCCCCACGTCGAGCCTCGACTTTCACGTCTTCATGAGGACATGCGACACCCCCCACCCGTGCGCCTGGACGGGATGCTCGGCACGAGCCCACACTGGGCGTCTGAGCCCGTTCGGCCGCCGAAGCCAACACCCCCAAAAATCCAGGATTTTGTCTACAGCATGGGCCCCCGAGGTCTCGACCCCTCTCCCGGGACTAGATCCCCATCCTGGGTCGCACGTTGACAGTCCCAGGGCCCAGCGAGGGCCCCCAGATGCCGAAACTGCAAACGCAACAAATCTTCCGTCGTGGGCGCGGGGAGTCGAACGGGCTCGGCCGCAGATGCGTCCGGCGGCCGAGACGGGCTCGAACGCCGAACGGGCTCAGGAAGAGAACACTTGTTCCTCCCTCTGCTATGCTGGAGCCCCCAAGCACCATGACCTATGGTAACTGATGGCCGCACATCCACCCTCGTCTACGTTCGTGGGACAGGCGCGGACCCGCAGGGAAAGGGGCCCCAGGGGGGAGAGGAGGAATGATAAGGAGGATGAGGAGGAGCAAGGATGAGGAGGGATGAGGAGGGAGGAGGAGGGAGGGAGGAGGGAGGGAGGAGGAAGGGGAAGTAGAGAGGAGGGAGGATAATAGGAAGGAAGAGGGAGAAAGATGGAGTAAAAAGGATGAGGGAAGATAGAGGCCACCTAGATGGGGTCGGAATAGATGGGGTCGGAGGATCGCGCCGCATCGGCGACATATCGGCGACACATCGGCGATGCATCGGCGACGTCGGCGATGCATTGGCGGCGTCCGCGTGAAGCAAATCGGGCTCCACATCGAGCAGCATCGGCGATTCATCGGCGATGCGGCGCGATCCTCCGACCCCATCTACTCCGACCACATCTAGGAGGCCTGGAGAGGAATAGAGAGAAGAGGACGGAGGAGGAGAGGGGAGTGGAGAGGAAGAGGAAGGAGGAGGAGGAGGAGGAGGAGGAGGAGCAAGGAGGAGGGGAGGAGGAGAGGGAGGAGGTAGTGAACCCCCTTTGGCAACTGGCTGCGGCCTCCGCCCGCACCGTCGCCCTGACGCTCACGGCGTCCGCCAGCCCCGGGAGGAGGCCGCCCACGAGGCCGATGCCCCTCGGCGAGAGCACTACCGAGTTCAGCACCTGCGCGCTGCGGCTGCACCCCCGACGCCGACGGCAGCCGTGGGCGGCTCGGGCGTTGCCGAATGGGGGGGCAATGAATCAATGGCGGGTTCCTGGCATCCTAACTTCAACACCTTGCCATCTCTTAAGGGGCCGACTTCTACTTCCGCCCGCTTATGCCGGCCTTCCGCCAACCTCCACCCCGGCGGAGGCGGCCTCGTTATACTTCCGCCAGCATTCCGCCGAGGAAGAGATACTAACTCCTTCGATCCTCAAAGGCGTAACCCTTTCTGGAACCCGCAAAATTGGTATGTGGGAATAAACGTGCAGCTGTCGCGCCCCTCTTTAGCCCCAGGGGGTGCGAGCACGAAAAAACACCTCTCTCCCCATCCCCATGTATCGCCCGCCCTTTGCGCAACGCCCGAACCGTTAGGGGAGAAGCACAGTCCGTTCAGATGCTCCAGCATTGGGACCTTTCTGGAGCCACTCGCCACACTTGCGCGTCGATGCTGCGTCGAAGGGCCGCCGAACCTGAGTCGGAAGGCATTGAACACATACGAGAAACAGTTCTCGATATTTATAAGAAATCTTGGGGCACATTCTTCCCCGAGCTTTCACGGCCCTGCGGTGCCCCAGAGCTTCTGTGGGTGCCTCTGGGCCACCGGGGGATAAGAAATGTCCGTGGGGCACCTGCTGGCAGGCCGATCGAGTACTTGGCGCGCCCACCGAAAGAGTGTCGAGCTAGAGCCGACGCAGTCGCCAAGGTCCGTCAGGTGGTACCCAGGAAAGCCAAAAAGAACGACCATATGATCTGACGCATCCATATCCATATCCTTCCTTCCTTCCTTCCTTGCGACGCTCTGAACAGGTCTCCATGGGCGAGCAAGTGCCACATAGCCCACGACAGAACTCGCGTCCGCTCTGGCCACTGCCCCCTCTAAAGCGAGGAGGGCGGCCGCACAGGCCCCTCGCATTCTCCGACCACGGATCGCCGACGTACAGACACACAGCGGGCCACAGAGAGCGGGGTGCCCGCAGTCTCCCTAACGACCTCCCCAAAGTTCAAGAGTCCACGGCCACGCGGTTCCACACCGCTCGGCGGCGACCGCGACGAATGATGGGGCGGTCTCCGCGCGAACGCCCCGTCGCGGAGGGCGCTCATGGGATCGCGAATCGATGGGATGGCGTCTCGGAATCCATACCGCAAGGGCATGGATACCCGGATCATGAAATACAGATTTGAATCGGTCGAGATCGGTAGAGATCGATCAACACCTCAAATCGGTCGCGAACGATCGCGACCGATCGAGACAGACCGATTGCGACCGATTTCGAAGCAAATCGTTCGCGACCGATCCCGGAATTTGAAGCAAAAACGGTGGCGACCGATCTCGTCGGTGGCGACCAGAAAAAACTGTCATCACCCTACGGGGCATCCCAGCGGACATACGGGGCATTCTGGAGGGCAGTCTAAATGGCATCATGTGAAGCATCCTTCGGGGCGTCCGCGAGGCATCCTGTGGGGAATTCTGTGGGGCAACAGATGGGGCATTTTATGGGGCATCCTGGGGCCTCTCATTGTGGCACACCGCTCACACACGGCGTGGGTCCATCTGGGTCTCCACCGAAGGCTCCAATCGGTGCGGGCGCATGGCCCCACCGTCTCATCCCGGCACGCCCGTCACACGTTCCGCGACCCCATAAAAAGGCCGACACAAGATCCGCCGCGGGCGCCTGGCCCTGCGCCGCATTCCGGCCTACGTCTCACGCGTTCCGTGGTCATACCAGGGGTATCACCCTAGGCTCCAATGGGTGCGGGCGCATGGTGCCACCGCCTCATTACGGCACAATCCTGACGTTAAGTGGCCACGACAAGGGAACGACACCGAAAATCCCAGGGGGCGCGGGCGCATGGCGGCGACGTAAAACACAAAAGCATCATGTTCCGACCATGTCGACGGATGGGGAAGAGACGAATGAGGGCAAGGAGGGACCATCGATGATCTAATGACGGTGGGAGGGGCACGTAACGCCTGGTACAATCATCGCGCTACCAAGGGAACGCGTAATCAGGAACGAAGGGGCGTTTCTAGCCACGGCGGGCCCAGGCCACAGACAGGCCCCATGACAGAAATCGAAGGAACGGCCCGAGAACCCGAGCCGCTCCTGAGCCCGCAAGCGGTCCTTCTTTCAGCGTCTTGACTGCATCGCATGGGGCAACACGCTCTCCTTCGGCAAGGGGGACGCAGGTCCTGGGGAAAAGCAGGTCCTGGGCCCCGGGGCCTTCCCCCGGGACCACCTGTCCATCCTGAGCCGCACCCTGACGGCCACGGGGCGCGTGGAGGGCCCCGAGAGTCCGACGAAGGCGAAAGACCTCCGAGAGCCCGCTTCCCTCGAGGACCCGGCTCCCCCGTGGCGACTCCCAAGAAGCCGAGGCGGACTCGGCCGGGGTGCTCCGGCCCGCGCCCGCCTCCAGCGGCCTGCCCGGGGACACGGCCTGCTCGGGGACGTCCTGCCGGATCTCGCCGCAATCGGTGAGCGGCAGGGCCGCCAGGAGGAGCACCTCTGCGCGCGCGGACCGGGCCCTCGCACAGAACCGCCTGGGCGAGCCGCTCCCTCGGCGGCTGAGGCCAACCAGTGCCCGCGGCGCCACCGTGGACACGTCTCCATGGGCGAGCAGGCGGCACGTGGGCCAGGACAGCATGTGGCGGCCGCTCTGGCCACCGCTTCCTCGACAGCGGAGGGGGCGGCCGCACAGGCCCCGCACGCTCTCCGACCATCGATCGCCGACGTACAGGCACACGGGGGCCCACGGAGAGCGGGGTGCTCGCGGACTTCCTGACCCCGACGGGATGTTTTCTCTTATTTTCGGCCCCTGGGGACCCTCGCCAAGCCTCGGGACCGTCGACTACCCAGTCTAGATGAGAGGCCTGGTCCTGGCAGGGGAACGGGTCGAGACCCTGGTTCTGGGGGATGGGTCGAGACCTCAGGGGGTCCGCGTTGTGAGAAAGCATGCCGTCATGGGTTTGGGCTCCATCGGCCCTGTCTCTTTCAAACGCATCCTGGACAGTGGGCGCGCGCGATTCCTGGGACGCCTCCGCCCCCCACCACACGTTCCCTCCTTCCTCTGTGCGGGCCCACTCGCCTTCCAGCTCTTCCGTCACGCTCGCCATCAGACCCTCTCGTGCCCAATTCCCGAACCCACTCACATTTAGACTCGTTCGTGCTGGGACACGACAGGACAGACCATCACAACGAACTGGATTCGGCCACTGGGGACTGGGTGGTCAGTGCCGCGGCGCTATGGTTAGATCGGGCACGTCCTCCTACACGCGGATTTTGGACGACGAACTCAAGATACCCAAAACATACCCAATTACACTCAAAACATAACAGGAAAACCAACCCCAAACTATTTTCGGATTCTCTTTTGCACATTCCTCCTGTAAAGGGACATGCCCGACATAAGGCTACGGCATCCTCGCTGTCGTGCCAGCAGGAAGCATCCCCGAACTCGAACCAGACCGTCGCGCCTGCAGCAGCATCACTACTCTGTATGTCTGCTGCTTGGCCGCGGGAGGAGGAGGAGGAGGAGGAGGAGGAGGAGGAGGAGGAGGAGGGGGAGGAGGAGGAGGAGGAGGAGGAGGAGGAGGGGGAGGAGGAGGAGGAGGGACAGGAGCAGGAGGGGGAGGAGGGGGAGGAGCAGGAGGGGGAGGAGCAGGGAGGGAGGGGGGGTCAGAAAGCAGCGAGCGAATCTGGTTCTGCGTGCCATAAAAAAAAAACCTACCAAGTCCTACTCCTGCTGCCTGCAGAGGCAACTCGGAGGCCCATCTCCACACGCGCTGCATACGGGTCAGTTTTCAATACATAGGAATTGACAAACAAATAGGATTGTTTAACACATGATTAATTTATGAATGAATGTATGCATGAACTGATCGTTGTTGTCAATACTAAATCCCTGTATTTCTCATACATGCTCCGCACGCGGAGCATGTATTACAAACGGCACCGTACATGCAACCCACCGGTCGTCAGACTTTTAACTTGCCGGCTGCGTCTCCCTGGCGCGTGTGGCAATCGGTACCCATGATGCCCACTGCTGCTGCTGCTGCTGCTGCTGCTGCTGCTGCTGCTGCTGCTTCTGCTGCTGCTGCTGCTGCTGCCGTCGATCGAGATCTCGACCCCTGCGAACATGTCGTCGCCGTCGCCCACGCCAGGACGACTGGCAGGCCGTCGACGTGATCCAAACATCAAAATTAACACATTCTGCTGCACTCGGTGTTGCCTCCGCTGCTGAAACATTGACAACATCGAGGAATAAGAGCCGTGGAGGCCAGCATGGGGTCGGTGGGTCGGACTGCGAGGAAGACAGGATCGAGGATAGGGAATCTTGGTTGATTGGCAGACAGGATCGAGCATCGAGGCCGACCAGGCCGACAAGGATCGCCGAGGAAGGCAGAATCCAAGATCGACGTGTTCGAATGCTTTCTCGTTGCTACCTTTTCGGACCTTTGGAGGCCTCCGGAGGGCCTCCGCGTGACCTCCGCGATAGCCTCACCGCGAGCGAACCGTGGCGGCGCGAGCAGGACTCGGCTTAGATCGGGCATGCCATCCTACAGGCGGAATGTGGACAAAAAGCAAACAGATCAGACAACGAACCAACAATGGGAAGAAGAGAGCGCCAAAGCACAACCAGACAATGTTTTGGACTGTTCTTAGGAATTCCTCCTGTGCAGCGACGTGCCCGACTTCAGACTCGGGTTCAGGGGGTCCGATGCGCCTCGGCCGCGCTGAGTCTCATGGAAGAAACGGGCGGGAGGGGGCGGCGGAGGCGGGGGCCTCGCCGCGCGTTCTCGGCCAGACTCGCCGTCGGACCCTGCGCGCCCGAAGACGGATGTCACGAGGCTGACGCTGAAGCGGTGAAAAAGGGGGGACTCGTCCAGGCGATGCCAGAGAGGGGCGGCACTCCAGGAGAGCGGGGTGCCTACAGCCAGAGTCGCCTTCGGATTCTGGCCGAAGGGCGCTCGAACGCAGCGTTCCCGAGGTCGATGCTTGAGGCGGTGAAAATCGGGGAACCTCGCCCGGGCGAGGCCAGGGCGGGCGGCACTCCAAGAATGCGGGGTGCTTGCCAAAGGGTATCGCCTAAGTGAGCATCTATGTGCCCCCACCTCTCGCAAACGAAATTCCGACGGGGAAGCCATCGGGTACGGGTAGATCGAGAATCTCTGAGATCCGCAAGCTGAGGAGGATGTTTCGGGCGCCGCGGCCTTCTCACAGAGTTCTGGATCGCCCTGAGAGGTTGCCAGACTGCTCTGGGACGGATATGTCCTTGTCGTAATCCCGTCAGGCTCCCACCTCCTGAGCAGCAGGGGCGATTTGTCACTGTGAGGGATAGTTTTGCTGTGAACGCGACTCGAATAACCGGCGTAGCTCTAAGGCCAAAGGGCCTGAACCATATTGAGCAACATGGTATCAAAAAACGGGAGATGGGCGGCACGCGCAAAGAGCAGGGAGGGAGCGAGAGTTCAGGCCTTGGCGGGGCCCGACGAGGACTCTAGGACACCCTCGGGGCTTTCGGGAGCGAGCTTGACTTCCACTCTTCCTGGTCGCCGTCTAGGGCGGCACTCGCGCCTCAATTCAGCAGCGGCAGAAAAGCGTGATAATCTGAGTGGCGGGACTGCCATGCCCGGCACCTCTTCGCAACGGTTGGCAAGCAGACCGCTTGCTCGGCATGCTATGCAGGCTGCCCCCCAGGGCGACTTAACGGATGCATTCTTCACAAACCTGCAGGATCAACTCACGCAGACTCTCGGCCGATAGTTGGACGGTGCTAGGCGGACGCCCCGGCAGCGGAGCAACTGAAACGGGTCGATCGTCACCACCGCCGGCAAACAGTGCGCACACAGCACAAAACTGAGTTGAGGCGTCTGACGCGGCAGTGCGTCAATTGGCGGCGAACGGCAACCCTTCCGCGTGGCGGCGAACAAAAAAACTCCCATGCGGACTCACGTGTACTTCTTGCCCCGTCACCAGGGGCCTCAGCGTCACTGGTGTCACGACGTCAATCAGCCTTCAACGCTTCTCCAGCTAGGTTCTTGCCGCATGATGTATGTTCGTGAAATCTGGAGCATGAAGGCGGACATTGCGACGAAGACAAGCTGCATGACGCCTGCGTGACCCTGCGCAATGCAGCTGCTTCTCTCCAGCGGCGAAACCGTAGGCGCCGATCCGCCCCGAGACGCCACGCTTGCTAGAACGAGCTCGACACCGCGAGCGGGGTCTATGGAGCTGGCGATGCTGGCAGGGGGCGTTCCAGCGGTGATTGGGCGGCAGCTGGCCCTGACAATGGATGGCCGCATGCGGCGGCGGGTCCGCCATGTCCACGCCCCGCCGGCGTCCTCTGGGATAAGAGCTGGACGCTCGTTGCGACGCCTACCAAGCCGGCAACTGTCCCATCCTGGGCGACGCCCCCCTGTCGCGCCGCCGGTCTTGGACTCGCTTGGGAGCGGGGCCCACTTCAGCTCGTTCCGGCGCGCGATGTGCCGCGCGAGCGTGACGAGGCTGTCCCCAAAGACCACGCCGGGGAACGTCGTGAAGCAGATGACGTCGATGGCGCGGGCTGGCCCTTGACACTTCGGATGCACGTTATCAGTGCCAAAGCAAGCGTGGCAACGCCGGGCAGCCTGGCGCCAAAAAACTGTGCCTCTTGGAACCGAAGAAGGCGAGTCGGACTCCCGCCTCCATGACCTTGGGAAGGGCGTCGGCGACCATGCTCCGGGTGGAGATCCAGGCCCTGCGGAACTCACTGTTGGGGCGCGCGGGCATCTTAATCATTGAAGCAGAAATTCTGAATCGCTTGCCAGTGGACTGAACAACGTCTGACTGGATGCTCGCGACCAGACCCATACTGTCGCTGTCGACCCTCCATGGGCGCTTGTGGCTGAGGTTAGCGATCTCCTGGGCGGCTGCGTCGGGCTGCGGGCCTCGCTGGCGGAATCGAAATGTCGATATCGGCCCTCAAGTTCCGCTTGAGCATGACGGCGAAGCCGGCGGATCCGTGCACGTCGGTGACTGTCTCGTTCAGGACCTTAGCGTCGGCCACGGTGGCGACGTTGGTTCGGCGAGCGTCGAGGCCCTCAGGGCCGCCGGTGTCGACTCGCGTCTGCATTGCAAGCCCGCGCGCCAGCGCAATTGTCCGAGAGTGCGACGGAACCCTGAGACTTCGTCGCAGGCAAGTCGATCTTCGGGTACCTCTACATTGCACACCAAGCTCGAAGAAGTCGACCTGCGCGGTGGCGCTCGACTGAGCAAGGCGAAACCCATCGTCGGACTTGGCGATGGTCCTGCCACGGGAATGGATGATGGTGTTGTCGACCTTCTTAAGGTTCCCTGCGCTGGAGTTGCGGGGCCGGGCGACATGGAAGTCATCCACATGGGGGCGTACGACGGCGGCGAGGCCCTTGCCGCCACGCAAATACATGAAACCCTTTCTCGAGCTTGCTCTCGATGAGGCCATGCTCCATGAAGACCCCATGGTCGCACAGGTACCGCTGCCTTCCAGCGTATTGGGTGCCGTAGATGGCGCCAGTCGCCATCGCAATCTCACCAGGAAGTGTCCCTGGCGGTGGGTTCTGGGCTGGCATGCGCAGGGGCAGCAGCCTCCCAATGTTGCCCGATAGGAGGTAGAGCGGCCAGCGATGGCCAGCGCGATGTAGAGCGCGTCGCTCAAGCGGGGGCGTCATTGCGGCTCTGGGACTTGTCCTTTTGACAGCCGTGGGCCACAAGGAGAGGTTGCGTGCGCAGCCATCGAAGACGACAGCGCGGGGCAGCTGACCCTTCAGCTCGGCTGGGCCCCAGCCATCGCAGTAGCGCGGTCACTCGAGGGGCGCGACGAGATGCGCCTCGACTCCCTTGCGAAGACGACCCGTAAACTTCAAGAAGATAGCGATCACCCAGTCAGGAAGCTTTCTGCCATTGTGGATCCGCGGCAACTTCCCAGGGGCGGCAGCGAGGTCCACGGCGCACAAGGGAAAGGAGCATGCACTCGCGCGCTGGCGGGGATAGCACAGCTGGGAAGGCCGCATCTGACAGCGGCTCCTCCATTATCGGAGCACTTATTGCCGAGCTTGCTGTCAAGGTTGCAGCGCCATTCACATGGAACAGTAGCATTGAAACTTGAAGTCGACCGTGAACCTGTATCTGACTTGTCCTGATCGGTCTATAAGGCGCCCGCACCTCCATCTCCTCCGCCTCCGCGATGCAAGCCCCCTCCGGCTCGCCGTTTCTCGGCGCCGAGCTTTACTGAGGTGCCAAACGCGCAGTCGCGGCAGCAATTGAGGTGGAGGCACTCCTCGCGGGGCTCGACGCCGAAAGCGTAGCAGTCGACCAGCGGCTCGGCGACGCCGGCCGTCATCGACGATGTCAGCGTTGCCGCGGCGCAAGTGACTGGCGTGGCCGCCGTAGAGCAGCAGGCCAAAGCAGCTGCCAGGGACACCGCAAGTCGCGATCTGGCGACGCGGCGCGGCCGCGGGCGCTCCGCGATGGACTCGACCGAGTACTCGGCCTGGGTCGCGGCGCTGATGTCGGGCAGGGCGCCCGCCCTGTCGATGGTGGCCTTGGGCGCGGTCGCCTCCAAGCCGAATGCGATGCGCGCCCGCTGCATGGCGAGCCGCTCCTCCGGCTGGAGGCCGATGCCGGGGTGGCCCGCGCTGCTCGTCGCGAGTTTCTGGGAGCGGCACCCGACGCGGATTTGCTTCTTCCAGAACGAGATGTCGATCTTCGAGGGCTGGATGATGTCGCGGCCGATCAGCAGGCCGAGCGCGGGGCTGTCCGCGGCGCCGGGAATGGCCCTTCCAGCGCGGGCGCAGAGCGCGAAAGGGGCGGAGACGCGCAGCTTGCTCGCGAGCGCGCCGCCGTTCCCGAAGCGGAAGACCTCGTCTTCGGACCCCGTGTCCAGGATCTGATCGGCGAGCCCCGCCTTGATGAGCGTGGCCCGGCACTTCGCGCGCCACTTGAGCCCCGCGACTCAGTGCAGGCAAGCGGCGTCGATCGCGCCTGCCCCTCGTCGTCGGGCATCTCGCCGATCTCGGCGGCGTTGCTCATGGCGGGTCGGGGGCCGCGCGCTCGGAGACCAGCGTCTCTGGCGGTGGAGTAACCAGCCCTTCGGGGCGCGGAATCACCGCCTCGTCGCCGAACTCGACGACCGGCTCGGTGACGTTTGCCCAGCGATGAGAGCGGCCTCGCCTATCGCCTCGCCCTCCACCCATGAGCTTTTCCATGGGGGCGAACCTCTGGGCCCCTGGGGCCAGGCGCTCCTCGTCGCCGATCCAGCGCCCCTGCTCGCCGCAGTCCCAGCGCTGCGAAGTCTTCTCACGCTGGTCCGCGCAGCCCAGCAGGTTCTTGGCGCGTCGCCGCATCGGCGGGGACTTCCCGCGGCCGTCGATGGCCCCCCGGGCCGACCGAATGGTCGCCATGGCCCCGGGGATCGCGGCGAGCTCCGCCGCGGTTGCCTCCGCCTTCGCGAAGTCGGCGGCGTCGTGGACTTGGCCGAGGTCGATATCTGGAGGGCTCCAGCTCGGCGCTAAAGCCTCCGGCTCATGGCGGGCGCCGTCCTGGGTGTCGGACCTGGAGTCGCCGGCGCCCTCTTCTGCGCGCGCGACTTCCTCCTCGGGTTCGTCGACAACAGTGGTTGAGCGGGCGCGACCGCGAGAGCGCTGCCAGCTCTTGCGGGACTGCCGCGACCGCGGTGGCGAAGGGGTCACCGAGCAACGCTCGGACGCGCGGATGTCCACGAACACGCGCACCTGCAGGCCGTGGACGCGCAGGAACGACTCGCGCCGGTCAACGCGCCCTTGGCGCTCTGCTGAAATCGGGCCTCGCGCTGCAGGAACCAAGCTGCAACGTCGCCCAGCGCGTCGAGGCCCGCCTCGTTGTCGCGCAGCTTCTGGACGCCTGCCTCGAGCAGAACCACCCAGTCCGTCATCCTTTCACCGCGCCTGCGGCGGTGTGGCACCGGCTGGAAAAGCTTCTCGAGCGTCTCCCCCTTCTGCGCGGGCTCCTGTTGGCCCAAATTGGCCTCGAAGTGCCTGAGCACGCTATCGATCCCATTCCGGTTGTGATCGCGCTGCTTGTCGGCTGCGCCCCCGAGCGCTACGCCCGGCAGCGGGCGTAGCTGATCTTCTGTCATGTTGAATGCAGCCGGCCGCGCCGTGTCCGCAAAACGCATGACTGGCTACGACGCGAGACTCTGCGTGACCTCCATGTCCTCACTCAGCTTCCAGGAACTTTACCTCCTGCTTGAAATAACGCCTTGTCGCTGGGTCACCAGCCTTCGGGGGATGACTGTCTGTGCATACCCGAATCTGTTGACTGCCAGTGTGAAATCGATGGACAACAGCCTACCAGAATTGACGGCGTGGGATGTGACATCGATCTCACAGGGCTTGAAAATAAAGAGATTGAGCTGAAAATCTGGGTTCGCGAAGCTCGAAAGTGAATATGTTAGCGTCTGACGCTGACTGACAGATTGTAGATGTTGCTGGCGTCGCTGGCGTTGATTTCGAACGCGTAAATGATGATGGCTTCGCTGACGCTGGCGATGTACTGGCAGATGCTGCTGACCGTCGCTGACGCTGGCAGGGTACTTGTGCTGATTGCGTCGCAAACACTGGCGGTGAACTTGTCGATGTTGCTGCTCACGTCGCTGACGTAAACAAAGTACTTGTGCTGGTACATACTGGCCCGCAGACGCTGGAAGAGTAGGTGCAGGCGTCGCAAACGCTTGCGGGCTTGGAGTTGGCAGCGCACGCGCTGGCGGGGCAAGGGCTGGCGTCGCACGCAGTTTCACGGAGCAGGGGCTGGCGTTGCAGACGCTTGCAGACTAGGGCAGAATGGCGATCAGGGCGAGGATCGCCCGGAGGACGCCGCTGAGCGTCGATCCCGTAGTTCGCGTCAGCGTCGTCGTGGCTGATATGAATACGGCGCGCGGCGCCAGGCAGCTGGGACCCGGTCCAAGCGACCATTGTGACATGGACGGACGCGCGGCGCCAGAGATCGTGATGCTGTGAGCGCGGCTCGACCAACCGGCGTAGCTCTAAGGCCACAAGCCCTGAACCAAGTTGAGCAAACCAAAATAGGTTACGGAAGAGCGGGGCAGGAACGGCACGCGCAGAGAGCAGGGAGGCCACGAGAGTTCAGGCCTCTGCGGGGTCCGGCAGGGCCTCTGGGACACCCTCGGGGCTCTCGGGGGCGAGCTTGGCTCACAATCACGAGGCCACCGGCCCGGTTCCGCCCTCTCGGGCAGCCGAGAACTGCGGGCGCACATTCCGAGCGCCTGCCTCTGCGCCACATGTCTAGGAGAGAGGTCGTCCTTTTTGTCTGAGAGGCGCGTTCGCTCAACCACGTCTACGAGGCTGACGGGGCGTCGTCGCTCCGCCATGCCTTCTTGACTATTCCAAGTGTGGCCAGGCGCCCTGGGCATTGACAGAAACACGACGGCGGGAGAGCGGGGCCCAACACGAGTCGCGACTGATCCGACCTCGAGTGGCCTGGAAAACAGCATTCATAACATGCTTGTCAGCGTGGACCCCGACCGATAAATTATTGCACAGTGGATGTGCAATTTGCGTGGTGCGATCTGCGTGGTGTAGGGTGCTGCAGACTTTGTGGTGGAAGCTATGTGGTGAAAGCTATGTGGTGCAAGCCTTGCGGGCGCCACGAGGCGCTCACGGGCGGCCGCCGACGCGGCGCCCACGAGACACCCACGGGCGATCGCCAGGCGAAACCCCGCCACATTACCCAGAGCACGGGGCGCTCACGAGGCGCCCGCGAGCGGCAACCGACTGGGCACCACACACGTCCAATCACTGTTTGTGGGAGCAAGCAACACCATAGCTATCGGCGCCATCGGGCACACCTGAACGAACTGGCTGGCTTTAACGGCGCGCAGAAGGTTGTGCGAGGGCGTGGCCTTCAAGACGGCAGTGGCCTCTTCGAATGGCTCGGAAAGTTATGAGAAACACCCCGCATCTATGACCCCCCCCTCCCCTTCGCACTCCCCCCCTCGCCCTCGCCCGACCAGAATCCAGAGAACATCTGACTCTGGACCCATTCAGGGCACAACATGGCCCGTTGTCCGAGCCCCGGTTCGCCGTGGCGACGAGAAAATCGAGGGAGTGCGTTTCACTGGCGCTTGGCTGAGAAATTTATGCGCGGGACGGCGGTGGGCCTCTGCGATATGGATCGGGGGCTTCTAAGACACCCTGCTCTTTGAGACGGCCGTCCCCCTCGCTCTCTCCCTGACCACGAACCGATTTGTAATGCAGTCTCTGATGCCAAGACCACTCCCCGCCTTCCCCCATAATCCTCCCCCCTGCTGCCCCTCCTGCCCCCACGCCGCGCACGGGTGGGAAGGGGGGGGGGGGGACGACCCCTTCCCCGTGTGTAGGGGTGGGAAGGGGTACGAAAACATCTCCCCCGTCCTCCCTCGCACTGGCAAGCGACCACGATGCGCTGGCCGACGTCGTCATCGTTGTCGTCGTCGTCGTCCGTCGTCTTTGCAGGCGCGAGGGAAAGGGGGGGCGTAGGACAACACACCCCCTCCCCCCCAGGGGAGAGGGGCTCGTATGACCTCCCGCAAGCAAACCCTGAACGCGCATTTTGTCAGAGCCCCGGAGGTGTTCAACACCTCCAAAAAGATGGAACCGACGTCTTCGTCGTCGGGGTACCACGCCCTGGGACCACACTCCGCTCAGATCACTCCCCCCGGACCCTTGCCGAAGTCCGTCCTAGCCAGCTGTTCAAACCGCGTCCAGTCATCCGTAGCCACGATAGCGGCCACGCAGGCCCAACAAAACCGAACAATACCAATCCTGTAAACGGAACATCCTGAAGGACCAGCTCGGATCACTGCTGAAGTGGCTAAAGGAATGAGAGGGTCGCGCGTGGATGTCATGGTGGGTTGTATAAAGCCTAACATAGTCTATACATGGGCTTGCACCGTAAATTCTTTAACAGGACCTAGGTAACACTGCTAACTGGGTTCCGCTCACATGGCCCAGGTCTTTGCCCCCCGTAATCCGCTCAGGGCACCCGCGACCCACTTATAGGCTAGGTTAGGCCGGATGTAGCCTACGATCCCCCATATCCTTTCAGCATTCCCCGCGGCAATCCAAATACCGAGCGTTCCAGATCCCCGACGTCGTGTTTTAGTTGACGAAGTACGCCCCAATATCGGGCGTCTACTGACCCGAGCCAATGCAAACCCAAGCCAGTCAAGCTTTGTATGATGCTGCAGGGCCGTGCGCGCGAGCCAGGGTCAATGCACCCCTGGCTCTGCAAAATCCTTGAGGATCCATCGCTCTGGCTGGCCCCCGTTCGCATTGGCCTCAAAACTCCCGACAGGAGGGTTCGACCTATCATCCTGGACACGCTTCTTTCGGTGGTTCAACGATGGGGTCCTTACTGATGGGGTCCCAAAGACATGAAGGGATCCAAGGGTGGATGCACATTGTTCGAGTCACCCCGTCCTCAAGACCCTGTCCTTCAGGACCCCCTCTTTGAACAACCGATTATCATCGTTGGTCGTTTCCTGACGGCCGCCGGGGCCTGGTGACGGCCCCCAGAGGCCGACGAAAACTCGAGTAAGGGATCGACTACATATCTGATTCACCCCCAGACTTGATTTCCGTGTCCATTCTTGATAATATACGCAAGATGTTGCACATCTACAAACATTGCACGTATTCTACTCGATTTTGGGGTGTACCAATTATGTACTCGAACTCCTAAACGAACATTTTTTAAACAATAAAACACACGCACACCAACCGACGTGATTCTTTCACGACGCGAAGGGGTCTGGGGAACACGACGGCTGGCCAATGCGAGTTGGCAGGGCAGAGGGACTCACTTCGCCCAACGCCCTTCTGCGCGCCGTCGATGGTTCACTATTGCGTGACGCCCCGCCCGCTACAAGCCTGCGACGGATTCCTCCTCCGCGCCTATAGCCAGCTCCGGACCGGCCGCATGCGCTGCAGGCTGGACGATGGAGCGTCGCCTGCTTGGCTGTGTGAACTTATGGTCGTCCGCCCATGTCGGGGACGCACTAACCCGTGTCAGCACAAACCCTGGTCAGCCAGGGCCCTGTCGCGAAACCCGGATGGCCGCTCAGTGGCTCCCAGCCCCGGGTCAGCAAAGGTGATTGGCTGACCCGCGTTAGCGATGTCCTCCGTTAGGGTTGGACGTCAGACGACGGAGCATCGCCTGGATGGCTGGCTGAATTTATGGGCGTCCACCAGGGGAAATAACTGAAGAGAAGACGGCACACGCATAAACGTTCACAGATCCAGGAGGATATCCTGGATCAGCGCTGGGACCGCTCCCTGGCTTGCGAAGCGCGCTCGGGGCGGCGCTGGCGGCGCCGCCTGGGGGGCCCAGCGCTGACCCAAGAATCCGCGCAAAACCTCGACAGTTTATGTTTCTGCACGCGTTCCACAAACAGCGCACGCACTTGGAGTGTCCCAGTTTTCTTCTAAAGAACTGAACCCGCTCACTGCCTGGCCCAGTTGCATCCCTGCCAATTGCATTGTAATTTTATTGCGTCGCAGTCGCATCGCATCGCAAACGCACGGCAGCGCATTGTTTGGCACTGCGCTGCATTGCAGCACTCTGCGTTGAAGCGCACTGCATGGCATTGCTTTCAATTGCTCTGCTCTGCTGCGCATTGCTTTGAATTGGGTCGCTCTGCATTGCGCTGCATTGCTGTGTACTGCGTCGCATCACTTCGCAGTGAGTTGCATTGCCGTGCGTTGCGTTGCGTTGCTTTGCGTTGCGTTGAATCGCGCTGCCTTGCTGCGCGTTGCATTGCTTCGCATGACGAGGCGTTGATTCGCATTGCGGTTTGTAGCGCCCGATGACCTTACTAGACAGCCGTGGACCAATACGGCAGTATGGTATAGAGAAAATGTTAAAATAGCTGTCCGAGATAGCTGAACCTCGCTTCTGCTCAGCTTCAGAAAAAACGGGAACGCGAGCGCCATGGGCGACGTCGAACCCGCGGCGGCGGTTTCGCGCGCGACCACCCCAATGCTTCTTCCACCTTTCCCTTTATCCGCCCTCTCACCGGCATTCCCCTTTTTGGTCTCGGCCCCTCCTCCTCCTCCTCCCCCACCTCCTCCTCCTGTTTCTCCCGTCCTCCTCCCCCTCTCCCCGTCGTGCGCCCATCTCGCCGTGCCGCGGCGGCGCCTTCTCCCGCCGACAACCCCGCGCCCGCCTCCCCCGCCCCCTCCCTTTCGCCGTCGTCGTCGTCGACGAATGGCGGCGGCGAGGCGGCGACGGCGACACCATAGCCGCCAGACCGCCACACAGGCCCAGACGGGGGGCGGCGACAACAGCGTCCCGAGACGCCAGACAGGCCCAAACACTTAAAACCGAACCAAGAAATCCTAAGTGCAAGCACGATTCGGATGTTGGAAAAAATCGCCCACGCCCGGATCCTCATGCCACTACGCGGTGCATCCGCGTTGGCCAGCACGCGCCCAATACACGAATCCGCACCAAATACTACGACGCGGGCTACACGCGCACGCCGCCAAGCGTATTACACCGCGATGTACTGCGGCAACACAGGCCGCCATGGTTCTGGGATTTCTGCGCGCGCACCCCTCTCTCCATCACCCCCAACAGCGCCGCCGCATGACGTCATCGTCATCGACAATCGCAGGATTTGCAGCCATCATCACCCAAGCATCTGTGCCATTCACACACGGACATCGTGATCGCCATCGGCGCTTTTAGCTGATATCGGTGCGGTCAACGACCTTGGCGCCGTCGTCTTCATCGCCACCACCACCGTTACTATTCACATCGTTGCCGCCGTTGCCGACATAATCGTGATAACACACACGCCCGTGCCACCGACCCGCCGTGAAACGCCCGCGCACAAGCGCGGCCTTCCGACGCGCGTTGGGCCATTGCCATCGTACGCGCCATCGCGGCCGCATCGGTTGTGCCAAACCAGCTGGCCGTTCTACGCGTAAGCTCGCACGCGCCAGCGCGGCCGCAGAGATGCACCAGCCATGGCCAAGCAATCATCGCAGTCGCAGCCGCGTAGGTTTTGCAAACCATAGTTGCGGGTGGGAGGGTGGGATTATTGCGCGAGCAGTGGAGCTGGCGACTCATGCGCTGGCCAAACATAGAAGACCACCTTGATTTCAAGATACGCAGTGTTTGGGGTCCACGCTGGCTAACATGTCTTTCTTCGACAGGGGATATGAGCAGATACGCTCGGCACCACCACCATCGCGAAGAACAGGGTGGTGGCTCCCCCGAGCTGCGGCTCGAGACCTCCACAGTCTACAGGTTGTGGGGGGGCATCGTGCACCTGCTCCCTGGAGGTGGCCCGCTGGGTGGTGGTGTCGCATCTCCACCAGCCGAAGGCAGGGGAGGCTTCCGTCGATCGGCCAGGGGTGGGCCGCAGTGCCTGCGCCAAGGGGCTAGCGATTGCTCCCACGAGACATCCCCAGTTTCCAAGCTGGGGGGATGCATCGTGCATCTGCTCCCTGGAGGTGGCAAGTGGTGGTGGTGTCGCATCTCCTCCCCCACAAGCGGCTGCTTTTCGCTAGACTCACGCGAATCCACTTGCATGGCATCCCCCGCCCCTTCCCGGCTGCCTTTTCAAACAACGCTGGCCCGAAAAGACGTGCAAATCAATCCTAGCCCGCGCTAAACTCAGACTCCCTTTCGGGCCTCGCCACGCCCCCCCCTCCGTTCAAACTAACGTGCCAGGGTCCAAAACAAGTGCCTCCGGAGGCGGGTCACGGCCTGGGGTGGGCCACAATGCTTGCGCAAAGGGGCTATTGCTGTCTTCTTTGGGAGATAGTGTGTGCGTGTGTGTGTGTGTGTGTGTGTGTGCGAGTGAAAGCCGTGGGCGCCTCGTAAGCGCCGTGTGCGCTAGCTTGCACGAGGTACAATGCACCATAAAGCTGGCACAACATAGCTCGTACCACACAGACCGTACTACATAGATTGCACCTCACAGCTTGCACTAGATTGCAAACACCATATAGCGCGCAACATGCAGGTTGTACTGCTTAACTTGCAGCATAAAGCGCACCATGTATATTGCACCACACATGTTGCACCGCATAGCATGCATCACACTGCGTCCACCATACAGTGTAACACAGAGCAAAACACAAGTACCGCACCATGTTGATTGGATATCCAGGGTCCAAAGATCCACTGCACGGGGCCCCCGGCGACAAACATTCCGCATGAAATCGTAGACTCGACCGGCGAGACTCGGCAGGAGGTGGTCTCTGCCCTCATCCCATCCCCTACACAGCTAAAATCCCTGAGCACGCGACTCCCCCCGGGAGGCCGTTGGACTTTGAGCCCTAGGGCCTGCGGCAACCAGCAAGTCCCAGGTCCTGTGAGCGAGAATGCTGTCCCTTCTGTCCCCTCCTGCTACTCTGGGAGGAGCCTGATGTACACACTGCGTCGTTTTCACGTCCACGGAGATCGGTGCATAGACGCCCCAACTGCCAAACCTGTGTAACGCTGAAGGTTCTGCTTTCCGAATTCCTTCGCCGAACTCGTTGGCACCCTGGCCGACCAGACGACGAGGTGTGTACATAGCCCCCCCCTGCTGCTCCTGCTGCAGCTGCTGGTCCGACTCGTGCTGCCCTGGTTGAATCCCCCCTCAGACATCCACAAGACCGCAAATCCGCACAGAGAAGAGGATATTGCGTCCACCGCCTTGAGATCCGGCATGCGGCATCACGAGCAAAACTACAGAGCCTCAGAAAAGCAGATCCGGAGCTCTGGACCCCATCTTCCTGCGGCGTTTCTGGAGCCGGGTCGAACCGCGAGGGCCCCGGGACCAGGATGGGGCTAACCCGACAGGATCTCATGGTGCGAATGCCAGCAGCGAACCGCTCCCTGAAGCGCGATCCGAGCAGATGGGGTCGGAGGATCGCGCCGCATCGCCGATGCTTTGGCGCCGTCGCCGTGGAGAAAACCTGGCTCCACATCAAGCCGCATCGCCGATGCATCGGCGATGCGGAGCGATCCTCCGACCCCATCTACTCCGACCCCATCTGGGAAGCCTTGAGGTTGGCAAACGTCTGTTCCCCCCGCGCTCCTGAGAGCGGCGACGCCCAGCGACGAGACGCCCAGAAGCCCGAACACCCACAGAGACGATAACCCTGGAGATCGAACGCCCGCCAGAGAGCTCTGCTCCAGAGTTCCGCTCGCCAGGGCTCCTGGCGAGTTCCAGGTGAACTCCTCTAACACCAGGACCAGATCATTGGATTAAATGCTTTGTGGTCGCGATCGGTAGCGACCGATCGGCACTCAAAATCGATCACGACCGATCGCGATCGCGACCGATCGGCCGCGAGCGATCTTGGAGCAAATCCGTCGCGACCGATACCAAAATTTGAAGCAACATCGATAGCGACCGATTGTTTCGGTCGCGGCCGAAAAACCTCTGGCATCCAATGATCAGGGGAGGGCGTGCTTAGGTGGCCACATCCAAACCCTACCCCCACCGACCATGGATTCTTCTGAACAGATTGGAGGCGTGGTCAGGGTTCGGCTTTCGCCACGTGCTCGACGAATTCCGAACCCTACTCCCGCAGCCCGACGAGTTGCTTGAATCATCGACCGGCGAGGGCAGGGTTCGGACTTCGCCGCCGAGGGAGGGCGTGCTCGGGCTTCCGGGGAAGTAGGCGCCCTCCTCCTGCGCGGGCTCCTCGGCCGAGGACGGCGCCGGCCCGTCCGGCGGCTCCGGCTGCACCCCGAACTCGGGGCAGGGCGCAACCTGGAGTGCGCAATGGCCACACAAACGTTGCTCACGAGCGGCGGACATATACGGGCGCGAACCTGCGGATGCGCGGTCGCACACATACGTTCCGCGCGGGGCACCCGCGAACAAATCTCTCGGTATCCGCGGGGTCGCGGACCAAGGGCCCGGCCCGCAAGGCCGCGGATACGACTCAAGGCTGACATTGGGAAGATGGCCATCGATCTCCGGAAGGCACGCTACTCCTGTGAGGCGATCCCCCCGCGAGGGCGTCCTCCGTGCACGCCTTCCCCCTGCCAGGGCTTCTTCGGAGCATGCTGTCCCCAAGGGAGGGTGCTAGCGAGTAACAAGCGGGCTGGCGGCGCCACATCGCATGTCACCATTGGCAGTGTCAATCGCAAACTTCGGAGGCCAATGCGAATGGCTTTTGCCGGCGGTGGACTCCCCCCTGCCAACACCTTCTCTTCGGCGCGCGGAGCTCGCCTGGGGCTGCACCAGAGGGCTACCATGGGCGCACTGAAGAGGGAGTCCAACGCAAACCCAACAAGTCCGCGCGAACCACTGACTATCGATTATAACCAAAACTCGTGCCAACTTTTGGAACATCCGCCACCGTGCCGCTGAGAACGGAGTGGTCGTGTTCGCAGGTCCTGGGCCCAATCCTCTAAGCCTCACGCCTCACTACTGACGAGTCTTCAAGGGGCCCGGACCCCAAATTCCGAAATCTCCTGGGGTTTGTCGCAGTTCCCCTGGCGTTCCTGGCGGCTTCTCGTGTGACTTTTTCTGGCCCAGGGGGGCCCCAAGACGGGCCAAGAGGGCCCCAAGGAGACCCAAGACGGTCCAAGGAGGCCCCGAGTCGCCGAACGATTGCTGCAAGACGCTCCAGATGGCCCCCAGACGGCCCAAGAGGCCTCCAAGACGCCCAAAGAGGCCTCCAAGAGGAACCCAAGAGGCCAAAATCATGAATTCTCGTTCGGCTTTTGAAAGATATTGGCGCTCTCGCCTTTTCGGCTTCCCGACGTTCCCAGACAACCCTGTAGGTTCCCAAAACCGCCCCAAAACGGCCCACCTAGGAAGCACCCAAAACGGTCAAAGAGTGCCGCAGACGGCTCCAAAAGGGGCCCAAAGGAGGGAGCACGAACTGAAAGACCGAGCCTCCCGGCCCAAGAGGCCCCCAGGAGGTCCCCAAAGGCGCCCAGGAGGCCCGAAGAGGCCCCCAAGAGGCCCCAAGAGGCCCCCAAGAGGCCCGAAAGAGGACCCACAGGATGCCCCCGAACGGCCCCCAAGAGGCGTCCAAACTGCCTCCACGAGGCCCCCGAGAAGCCTCCCACGAGATCCCAACGAACATCCACTGAAGGGGGAGGAGGAGGACGAAAGCGTGCACAGGTGTTTGGCCGCACGAGCCTGCCGTTCAGCACACCATCCTGACGCCGCGAACCCAATATATCTGCCTTTGTCTAACGCAAAAAAAACGTGTGGTGACTGGGCCGTATGGTGACGGACCCCGCGGTGACCTCGGAATCCCCACATGTGGTGACCGAGTGGTGACCGAGACGACCTCGGATAACGACTCGAGCCACAGCCTCGTGCGGCGATTTCGGACCCCAGCTCACTCACCACGCGGCATGGTCACCACGCCCTTTGGGGTCTCCCGAAAAGGAGGGAGGAGGAGGACGACGACGAGGAGGAATGGGAGGGCGGCGGGAGGAGGAGGGGAAGGGGGCGGAGGAAGACGAGGAAGAGGAGGAGGCAAGGGGGCGGAGGAGGAGGATTTCATGGCTGTATGGCCGAAGCGGCACCTTCTTCAAGCCATGCGCGCGGGGACTTCGGGCGCCACGCGCCTTCCTTTGAGAAACAGTTCGGGCTGCGAAGGTCCCGACTTTTACAAGGAGGCCGAGCGTTTCGGAGGGTGTTTTTCTTTCTGGCCCTCTCACGCAAGGCGGCCGCCCTCGCCTCCAATCTCAAAACAGAATCAGGACTCGAACGAGCAGCGCTTGTGAGAGACGGAAGAGGCCTCGAGCTACGCCTGACAAGTCGCCCGTGCGGAGCAGCAAGATCGATGCTTCTGGCCAGCCTTTCGTAGGGCCTGGTCCCGCGCCTGAGATGTCGCGGGGCCTGAGGGCCTTTGACAGTGGGCCTGTCGCAAGGAGCCCGGAAGAAGGTGTTCACGGAGACCTCGAGCCGTGCCAGTAGCCGCCCAGTGGTCCAGCTGGACGACCACGGCGGTCCTGGGCGGAAGACGGCGCGAGCCGCCTTACCCAAGCCTCGGTCGCGAGGGGACGACCGTGGCAGCAAGCACAACCAGGTCAGACGGTGTGGGGATCTCGAGCCCCCCCGAACTGCAACTGGAAGGCCTGGTGAGCCACCTGGGAAACTTGCGTTCAAGAAACATCCGCTTCTGCTGGCGCATACCAGATCCATATGCACCAAGGTTGCAGGTCAGTGCCGACTCTCGGACAACTCCCCAGGCAAAGGCTCCACACGAGATACAGCATATGGGGCGTGGGCCAGCAACCATACTCGCCCCAAGGTCATCATAGACCTTGGCTGCCCTCGAACAGTGGGCCGCGAACTGGCAGACCGACCAACTCGGGGTCTACGGGGCCTGTGGAGACCTCCGAGAGCACAGCCGGGAGGCCAGCCGGGAGAACAGTAGCCGGGAGGCCAGCCATGCCAGCATAGGAGCAGAGCAGGATCAGGACCAAGAACTATGCAGTCTCTCCCTGCTCCTCCTACTGTTCCTCCTCCTCCTCCTTCTCCTCCTCCTCCTCCTTATCCTCCTTCTCCTCCTCCCCCTGCAGGAGGAGGAACAGGAGGAGGAGGAGGAGGAGGAGGAGGAGGAGGACGAGATGGAGGGGGAGGTGGAGGAGGAGAAGGATAATGAGGAGAAAAAAAATAGAAGGAGGAGGAGGATGAGGAAAAGGATGAGGGGAGGCAGAGAAAGGAGGAGGGTGAGCGAAGGAACGGCTACGGCGCACGGAGGAAGGTCGACAGGCGGCAAGGCGTGACGAGGAGGAGGAGAAGGAGAATGAGAAGAAGGAGGTGGAGTTTCTGGAGTCTCTGCCTGATGGCGCAGCGATGTATGTAATTAAAGTTCTGTCTCCCTATGCAGGGTGTTCTTGGCTTTGGAGGCCTTCTCGGCACGACTGAGGACCTACCTTGGGCCAGAGCCCTCTTGCACGACGCTTGGGGTATTCACTTCCTGTGGAAGTGGGCTTCTCGCAGAGGCCACCGAATGACCCGAGGACTTCACAACCAAAGTTTCAGCCCAACGTGGAACCTTAGACGGTGGCTCTGGTGTACCCCCCCGCGATATGGACCTTCATTCCAAGAGGAGCGTCCTTAAATGTGCCATCTACATTTTAAGGCTCGAAGCATTCACTGTGGAACCAAGGGGCCTCGAGGACTTGCTGGAAGAACTGAAACACTACTGGCATTCGCAGTTCTCTGATTCGGCTGCGTCAAGTGCGGTTCGGAGCAATCTCGCCCGAACAAGAAAAGATTGTTGCTCGATGAGCGCCACCTGCTGGCGCTCGGTCGCACAAGCTCTTGGCTTCGCTGGCGGCAGTGCCTGCGAGCGCGTCGGCGGCGCAACTGCCACAGGCCAGCGTCGATGCCAGATGAGATCCATAGGGCAGCGACGTGACCCTGCCGTCGAGCCTCTGCACGTTGGAGTCGGAGCCCGAGATCAGCGCCCTGTCCTGTAGGTTCTTTGGCGCGCACATGGTTGCATCCAAGGTAGCAACCCTGATTGTCCGTGAAATAAACGATGTCTTGCTTAGTGGCCCCGACAGCGATGACCAAGGCAAGTCGCTCGCCCCGCGCCGCGGTCTGTCTCTGGCCTGGTAGTGGCCCCCGTAGGGCCGCTTGAAACGGCATGCCATTCCCACGCGAGCCGTGGAAAACTGCCAAATCCGACCTCCCGCAGGTGCGAGTTGCTGGTGTCCTGTCCTCCGCTGGCGTCGCCGAAGGCATACATAGGTTGTCCATGTAAATGCTGTAGACAAGCGACGTAGTACTCGTGGAACCCATCGCAAGTCCGTTGTTCAACCATGATGGGCGCCGTAAGTTGTGTCCAGACTCTTGGCATGACACCGCGCGCCCAAAGGCATTCGAACATGTGTCGTTGCGCCATGGCCTCGTGAAGGAGGTGGTTGGCGCCCTGGAAGATGGAGTTGTCGCGGTCGCGGACGCACCCCCACGCATCATGAAAATCACCCCCTTCTTCTGCGCGGCACCCCTGGCAAACAGCATCAACATTGGGCATATGAGCCTCCTGAACTAAGCGCTCCCTGGTCCACGCGGCCCCTGTAGCGATGGCAAGCATGCGATTGGATAGGCGGCCTCCCTGTGCCATCTTCTCGAGATACCTTAGAAGCCTGCGATCTGAACGGTCGCCTGCTCCTTGTTGGAGACCTTCTCCACAGTGCTGCTGGTTGGCATGTCACCACAACTGGCGCTGGATGCTGGTGTCGATGTCGTCGAGCAACTGGCGTGCGATGTCGGCGTCTGGGTGCCCCGACCAAGCGACGGCGTCGAAACCCCAGGCGTCGTCTGCGCTGTTGCTGTTGCTGGGGAGGGGAGGGGTGGGGAAGGGGGGGTAGGTTGGGCTGCGTGGGGCCCCATCCGATCTGCAAAATATGATGATAGCGGACTGTGGTTCACGCGCGTGTCGGGCACGTTGCGCAGGTGGGATAGCGGGGGAATTCCTGACCATCTTGGCCCAGGTAAAGGCGATGGCATGGCGGAGCTGGGGGCCGGCAGTCCATGCTGCGTGCCAGGCAACGAAGGCTTCGCGCGGCAGCTTCCAGGCGGGGCCCCTCTCTCCAGTTCGGAGGTCGAGATGCGCAGCGAGGCCGCGTCCACGAAAACGTGAGCGGACTGCATCTCCGAGTCGCCGTCGGCAGGTGGTCATGGTGGCGCCGAAAATGCCGCGGAGCTGGTGGGCGTTGGTGGCAGCCGCGGGATATGCGGATAATCTTGGCGTGCATATCCTTGTGGCGCCGTCGTTGCTATGTGGCCGTTGCTCTGGAGTGTCGCGTGCCGCAGCTGGCGCCAGCACCCAGGTATGCAGCTTGTGGTCGCGGCTGGATGTGGTACCCCCTGTGCCTCGTGGACTTGGCGATGTGCTTGGCGCCCTGGGCGCGCGCGCCCACCATGGCGCTCTTGTTGGCGATGCTGAGGCCTCGGTCCTGGAGCGCATTGCAGGCGTCGGTGAGCTCGGCGACCACGTTGCGGCGAAGTGCTCGTCGACTGGCCTGCATGCGCTGCGACAGGTCGTCGACCCAAATGCGATGTTGCGTGGTCGTCGGCCTTGAAAGTCATGATCTTGGCGAAACGCGTTCCTGACATTAAACCGTTGTGCCGATGGTTGGTTGCATGGCCCTGGCATCTGATCCGCCCTGTGCGAGCGCGCGCTGGGCAGCGCGCTGTGGGACCACGAGGCATAACACCCCGGGCGGAAAATTGAAGCCGAGAGCCTCGTCGATGATGTTCGCCCAGTGGATGGAATCGTAGAACTGGGATATGTCGAGGAGCCCGCGCGCCCGTGAAATGCCTAGTCGCGCCGCAACTTCCTCGTGTGAGCTGCGCTCGTAGGCTTCCCGGAAAGCCGAACTACCTTTGGCGATGGCGCCCCCGTGAGCGAAGTACTCTCTGTTCCATGCTTGGACATGTGGTCCTCTCACCATTGACCAGAGCCTGGCCATGATGGCCATGCGCCCGAGGATCCTGTCGCCGTTGTCCTTCTTGGCGCGCATGACGCCGAGGGTGTGCAGGAACTGATGTGGCCGCAATTGCGCCTGCTCCGCCACGTCGTAGATCCCGGCGAGCTCTGCGAGCGCAGGCTCGGGGAGACGAAGTCGGTTTACTGGTTGCAGACGGTCTGTCCCAAAAACCTTGTTGGCCATAGGCGCTCAAGGCCTTGTCTGGCCTCGGTTTTGGCGATGAGCGGCAGTCTGCGTTCGTGGAAGCGGTTGCGGATGCGCGGGCGTTGACTGCCATGGTGAGGATCCATGGGCGCCCAGAGCTGTTGCCATGTAGCCACCTTGCTGTCGATGAGATCCATGGGGTGCATGATGGCCTTGGTGCCATCCTGCAGAACCTCGGCTGGTTGCGGCTGTGGTCGCCGTGGTCGGCGGGGTGTGCCCGGAGCGTCGCCGTTGGCAGCCCAGTCGCGGAAGTCGCGGGTCGCCTTCCGCAAGGCGCGCCGTTGGGCACGTCGCGCGGGCCCCCCCGCTCGAGCTGCGTGGCGGGCGATGCCCCCGCGTCGCGGCAGCGGGTGTTCATGGGGAATAGAAACCACTGCTCCCAACGTGGGTCGTCCTTCTCGCGAATGATGCGCGGCGCGAGCCCGGCTACTGGGCGCAGTTGCTGTCGATGCTGTAAACTGTCCGTTGCCACGCGCCAGGTGGCGTAGATACTTTGTAAAACTAGACGTAGTGAAATCCACCAAGTGCTGCTGCGGTCGGCCAGTGCAGAAATCCGTCGACGCTATAGTTCGCCCACGACCTCGATGAGATACTGCGGGCCGACGGCCCGAGAGGTCCCTGCGAGGGAATCTGGTGGCGTGCGTGCATGGGCGTCTCCACGGCGGTAACCCACGAACCGTAGAGTTGCCCGAACTGAAGGGACATGCCAGGCTTGAGCCTGGAGGCCGCGGAGGCAGCGGCGGCGCGGGCAGGCCGAGACCCGCGGGGAAGCAGATCGCATCCGGGGCTTCGATGGCACTGAGTCTGGGTCCCTTGATTCAAATCGGGCTCGCTGGGGGGTTCTTACGCTGGGCTGCTGAATAAGGTATGTCAGAATTGTTCGACTGTCCGACCGAGTCAGAGCAGTCGCTGGCAGGCTGAGTAGGGCGGGCGGGTTCAGCTGCATCGAGCTGGGCAACCTCCAACCGCGCATGTGAGGGTTGACTGGACAGCAAGAGCTGGGTGGGGCATTCCAAAGATGAGCGAGACGAGGGGTCGTTTGACAGCTCGCGAGCAAAAGTTCGGAGCTGGAGCAAGCGCGGCTGGCCTGAAACAACTCTCGTGTGCCCACGGGTCGTCCTCGTCAGTATCGCATGGTCCATCCTCGGCGCCGTCCAATGTCTCCCTAGCACTTGTGGTCTGGTTAATAGGATCCTTGCCCTTGAGAAAATCATATTGAAGAGTTTCGTGGAAGCGCTGTCTGTTGGACTCGGCGTTTTCTCATTGCTCTGCGTGGGTGGCGCTGGCACGGCTGACCATAGAGCCTGGCCTGGCAGCTCGGGAAGGCTTGACGGCGTTCGGTGGCCGTCGGGGCAGACCGAGCACTCGGGCGAGAAGCTGATCCCCCGTCTGAACAATCTGAATTCTCAAACCTAGAAACGGCTTCCACGGCAGACCGCGCAGCGCCAAGACGTCGACCAGGCGCGGGCGGGCAGCGGCCCTGTGAACGATGAAATCCACGTGCGATGGCTCACGTCCGCCCCCCGGGTCGCAAGTAGACTCGGCAGATGCGCGCGTGATGGAGACCTGGATATGTTCCAGGATGCCCGGCTTGCTGAGCGTCTCGGGGCTGGCGTTCCCATCCCCAACCACGAGCCGGGGGGCTGGAGGGAACGGAGGGGGCCCCCGAGACGCCGAAATCTGGCAATATTTGGCCCTCGCAGGCCGACGCTGCAGAAACCATGAAAGAACAGCGGCGACGATAGATAATCCCTTAAACTGGAGCGCCGCGGGGAGAAGCCCATCGAGGCTGGGGGAGAAAGGGAGGAATTGGAGCCCTTTGGATGGGACTCCTTCTCAGAGAGAATGGGCTCTGATATGGCCCTCGGACAAGAACCGCTCGCCGCCTGCGTTGGCGTGCTCGGGTGCGACTGCAGACTCGCCCGGGGAATCGGCAAGTCTCCCCACATCCTGATCAGGCCTATTTGGGCGGGCAGGGTTGGCGAAAAGCCTGCGGCTGATGTCGCCGCATCGGCCCTTCCACTTGTCAGCGCTGCCGTCGGCGATGTGCGCCCCGACCAAACCTATGAAATCATCGACGCAGGTGGCCATCCAATCGAAAGCCTTTTGCCTCATGCAGGTAGCGCTGCTGAAAAAAATGCGATGCCTTGGTACTTGGTAGCGTTGGCGGCCTCATGCTGCACTCGAGTGGCAGGGTCACTCGTCTGGTCCGCCTCGGTGGACCCTGCTCTGCCTAGTCACGAGGACTGGGAGCGTCCGCCGCCTGTCTTGCATTTTCCCTTCTTGGGCGGCGGCGCGTCAGCTGGCTTGGCTGGGTGGCCGGCCTGCCCTTCGGCTGCCCGCTCTGCAGCGAAACGCGCAGCTGACAGCGTGGCGGCCTCAGCTGCGAGCTCTGCCTCATTATCGTGGTCCTCGGCGGCCTTGGGCCCCCTGGTGCTGCCCGCGTCGGCTGGCTTCTCGAGGGAACCGCGAAGCAGCGTGCCTGCTATAACCGTGTCGGCGTCGGCAGGGGCGTCGGCAGCACCGTTGTCGCCCATGCACTTCTTGAGGTGTCTGGCCTCCCGCGCTCGACGAACCCGCTGGGCCCGCTCGATCAAAGTCGAGACCTTCGGACCTTTGGTGGCGAACTGCCGCTGCAGCTCCTCGAGGCCCTTCTTGATTGCGTCGAGTTCCATCTGCTCCGCCTCGGCGAACTCCACCTCGTCTATCTTGCGGGACAACTCTGGTCCCAGGAGATGGTGAAGGGCTTCTGTGAAGCATCCGCGGCTTGGGCGTGAGTGCGGGTCGGTTCGCCGCCGCCGACCCCCTCCACCCTGGCCAAAGCCTCGGCGGCGCGCCGCTTGGCCTGCTCGGTGCGGGCGACCTGGAGGGCGGCCTCCTTCTCCTTGGCCTCGGCGGTCTCGGACGCCTTGCGGAGCCTGATGACGTTGTGGACGCCTTGACTGTGATCATTGACCGCCGCCCTCCCAGCGCCGTCGGCTTCGCGCATGGTCTCGACCTCGCTGACCTGCACAGTGTTTTCCTCTTCGGCCATGAGGCGTTGGAGCTGCGCATGAGGATGGCCTTCAAAGCAGGGTCCGTGGCGACGGCGATGGCCTGCTTGAGGTGGTCGGCGAGCGATGTGCGGCTATCCTGGCGCCGTGCGCCCTTGGCCGTGGTGGGTGTGTCGGCATCCCCGACCTCATAGATATCCTCGTCGCCGAACCGGCTGCTCGGACTCCGAGAGCGTGAGCCATGCACCTTCATGGGCCTGTTGCAGCGCGGGCACATAGGGTTGATCGGGTCGAATAGGTGGTTGTACTCGCATATGTTGCACCCGCGGCATCTGCTCCAGAGCCGTGTAGTGCGCCACGCAGCCACTTGGGAGCGTGTTGCTGGTCGTCCCATGAACCCCAGCGTTGATCAACCGTAAAACCTGCGCCTGGGACGTGCACGGAAGTTCCTCCATCACCTCGGGAAGGTCCTGGGGCAGCCCTGTGGAATGTGGCCAGGGCCGAAAGGGCTTGAGAGAAAAAGGAGGTGGAGGAGGAGGAGGAAAAGGAGGAGCAGGAGAAGGAGGAGCAGGAGAGAGGAGGGTGGAGGAGGTTGAGAAGCAGGGAGGAGGAGTAAGAAGAAGGAGGAGGAGCTGAAGGAGCAGGAGGAGGAGCAGAAGGAAGGAACAGGAGCAGGAGGGGAGAAGAAGGAGGATCAGGAAGGAGTAAGTATTCCCCCCCCCCCGGCAGGCCAGCGTCAGCCCGCCGGGCCGCGGCGTCGGCGATGGCACGGCGGCGCGCGGGTTCTGGCGGCGCGCGGGCGCCATTCGCGATACGACGGGAGGCCCGAGCTCCTGCGGGCGCAGCAGGGGAGGCCGTGCTTATTCACTGTGGGCCCCTCCTCCTTGGATTCGTCCTCCTCGTTCTCCTCGTCCTACTCGTCCTCCTCCTCCAAACCCTCCTCCTCTTCCTCTTCCTCCACCTCTTCCTCCTCCTCCCCCTCCTCGTGAACTCCCCCCTCCGCATCATCACCATCACCATCACCATCCCTATCCTCCTCCTCCTCCTCACCCTCGTCATCATCATCGTCCTCATCCTGATCCTGATCCTCATCCTCCTTCTCATCATCAGCCCCCATCCTCCCCTCCTCCTCATCATCATCATATTCCTCCTCTTCATCATCCGTCGCTCCCACCTTCTCCTTGACGTCCTCTTTCTACTCCTCCTCATGATCCGCGTCCTTCTCCTCGTCCTGGTCCTCAACCTCATTATCATCATCATCCTCATCCTCCTCATCACCGGCATCAGCATAATCAGCAGCATCATCTTCACCATTCTCTTCTTCCACATCATCAGCATGTGACCAACCAACACCTCCACCATCACCATACTCACCATCCTCCTCCTCCTGATCATCATCATGAGCATCAGCAGCAGCATAACCCCCTTCATCATCAACATCATCAGCATCATCTCCATCACCGTCATAATCATCACCAACATCAGCAACATCATTATCACAATCGTCATCATCACCAGCATCAACATCATTCCTCTCATCATGATATACAAACCCCATCGAAATCAACACCATCATCAGAAGCAGCAGCATCATAACCATTGGCATCGGCATCGTCATCGACATCATCAATAGCAACATCGTACTCATCGTCCTCATCCTCACCATTACCACATGATCACTACAGCCGACAACAGGATCGTCATTTCCCATCCTCTTCCTCCTCCACATCCTCGTCTTGTACCCCCTCATGATCCTCATCCTCCTCCACATCCTGATCCTTGTCATTTGTTTCTAGTGCTGTTCCTCCTCCTCCTCCTCCCCCCACCTACGACGACGACTACTACTACTGCTGCTACGACTACTACTACTACTACTACTACTGCTACTACTACTACGACTACTACTACTACTACTACTACTACTACTAGTACCACCCATACTACTACTACTACTACTACTACTACTACTACTACTATTACTACTACTACTACTACTACTACTACTATTACTACTACTACTACTACTACTACTACTACTACTACTACTACTACTACTACTACTACTACTAACTACTACTGCTACTACTACTACTACGACGACAACTACTACCACTACTATTACGACTACGACTACGACTACTATTACTACTACAGCTACGACTACCACTACTCCTACTACTACTACTACTACTACTACTACTACTTCCACCACCACCACCACCACTACTACTACTACTACGACTACTTCTTCTACGACGACGACTACTACTACTACTACTACTACTACTACTACCTACTACTACTACTACGACTACGACTACTACTACCACTACTATTATACCACTACTACTACTACTACTACTACTACTACTACTACGACTACTACAACTACTACTACTACTACTACTACTACTACTACTACTATGACGACTAATACGACTACTACAACTACTCTGACTATAGCTTCTACTACAACAACTACAACTGCTACGACTATTGCTACTACTACTACTACCACTGCTTCTACTACTACTACTACTACCACTACTACTATTACTGCTGCGACTACGACTACGACTACGACGGCTACAACTATTACTAATACTACTACGACGACGACTACTACTACTACACCAACTACTACTAAGACTACTACGGCTACAAATACTATCACCACCACTACCTTCTACGACTGCGTCTACTACTACTACTACTACTACTACTTCTACTACTACCACTACTACTACGACTACTGCGAGTACTAAAGCAACACGCGCTACTAGCATTACGGTTACTACGACTGCTCCTACCACTCATACTACCACTATCACTACGACTGCGGCTACGACTACGACTCCGACTACTACTACTCCTACTACTACTACTACTACTACTACTACTACTTTTTCCGGCTACGACTACGACTACTACGGCTACATCGATTACTACTACGACGACTATGACTATTACTACGACTACTACTACAACTACATACAGTTTCTAGTACGACTACAGGTACAACGGCGATGACGACTACGACTACGACTACGACTACGGACCACCACTGCTACTAAGAGTTCTGCTACGGCTACTACTACTACTATTACTACTACTACGACTACTACTACTACTACTACTACTACTACTGCTACTACTACTACTACTATTACTACTACTGCTACTACTGATAGCACGAGTACGGCTACGACTACGACTACTACTGCTACTACTACTATCACTACTACTAGAACTGCTACTACCACTACTCATGCAACTACGACGGCTTCTCCTACTGCTACTACGAATACTACTACTACCACGACTACTACT